TAACCGCTGCATCAATTTATTCCAAACTTTGCACAGTTGTTGGCCTTGATACAGCATACTAAATGGCCGAAAATTTTAAAAATTGGACAATAACCACGCCCACTTCCCATATAACGGTAATTTTCAGAAATACGAATACTGCGATATTTTAGTAACTACTGAAGATTATTCACTCAAAATTGATATTTACAATAAGTTTTAGACGAAAAATAAGAATATTATAAATTTTTGGAAAATGGGCGTAGCCACGCCCAGTTATGTTTACATGTGTATATCTTGGTAACCGCTGCACCAATTTCTTCCAAACTTGGCACAGTTGTTAACCTTGGTATAACATACGAAATGGCCGAAAATTTTTAAAATAGGACAATAATCCCATATAACGGTAATTTAGAGAAATACGAAATCTTCGATAAATCAGTAATTATTGAAGCTAATTTATTCAAAATTGATGCTTGCAACAATTCGTTACCAAGAAATACGTTTAGGATACAATTTTGAAAAATGGGCGTGGCACCGCCCACTTATGATCACATATATGTATCTCGGTAACCGTTCTACCAATTTGTACCAAACTCGGTGTGGTTATTGTACTTGCCACATAGAAGCAAAACGTTGAAACTTATTGAAATCGAACTAAAATTACGGCCGCTTTTCATATAACAGTAAATTTCAGATATGCTTGAAACTTCAATATTTCGAAATTTAAGGACGCTAATTTACTCAAAATGGATACACCTCGGTTTACCATGTAGCGGTAGCTTTCGGAAAGGTGAAAAACATATATTTAATACTTGCGCCGGGTATTTAAAGTTTCGGCTCCGCCCGAACTTAGACTTTTTTACTTGTGTTAGTATTGGTTTTATTTGATTTACAAAAATAACCAAATAAAAAATTAATAAAAAGCAATTTCATTAATAAACGTAAAATAGGGTTTAACAAAAACATTAAAATTAACTAAATTATGAGTGATTAATGATTACATAAAACTTCTCTGTATACAATATTTTTTGTAAAAACCCTGTTGTCATTGAGTAAAGTTCCTTGTCCGTTTTGATTTGAAACATAAAATTTTATGCCGTCAAAAGAGCGAACTCTACTCGCAGCCACGTATAATTGCCCGTGTGCAAAAACTGGTCTTCTTAAAAGAACGCCAATCTTTTCGCATGTTTGCCCCTGGGACTTATTAATAGTCATAGCAAACGCGGGTATTATGGGAAATTGTGTTCTTTGAAATTTAAATGGAAGAATCGATCCAGAAAATGTAAGATTAATGCGTGGAATTAAAATCCTTTTACTTCGTGCTACTCAGGGGCGCACCCAGGAATATATTTTAGGGGGGGTTTTATATTTCTGAAGATATGTCACCGGAATATACTGAAAATTCGCTTCAGATAATACGCTCTTTGAAATACATTTATGCAAGTTTTATGTACAGTATGTAATAAATAAATAAACGGTTTAAAATTCATAAACTGCACTTTATTTACATAAGAATAACAGAACTCAAACATTTTTAACCGACTTCAAAAAAAGGGGAGGTTATCAATTCGTCGGAATACATAACTTTGGACCACGTGAACCGATTTCAATAATTCTTTTTTTATTGGAAAGATGACACCTCAAGGGTCGTCCCGTAATTTGGTTTAGATCCGATGATTGGATCATGAAGAAATTAACGGTACACCTAAATTTGTATATGAGAATTGAAGTCGGTTGTGTGCTTTCCTTAAAAACTACTTGTTTAATAAAAAGTTCTATAAACTCAAGATGAGCTCAACTTTCAAAAGTACCTAATAAAAAATTTTAAAAAGAGTCAGTAAAAATAAATTTATTGATTCCAAGACACTTTTATGCAGGGTTTGAAAGACTGTCAGCACAGCAGCAACAGCACTCTTATTTTTTGCTTTGCTTCGGTTTGGAATTTTTGATTTCCTTCGAACTGCTTTGCTTTCGCTGTGACTTTGAAAATTGTATTTTGCTTTTTTATCGGCAGTTTATTGAAAACAATTTATTGCTTTCGATTTGCTATGATAGGACTTTTCCTGTGCTGTGACCTGCTTGACTATCGTGTGTACATGAAGCTTTGCAGCATGATGTATTATCGCTGACTCGCCCGAAGTGAGCGCTATTCACAAATTTTGCGATACCAGTTCCTTTGCCTAACAAATTAAATATGGCGATGTCATTGGAGCCTACCAGCCGCGTGGCATGATCTTTCGCTGGCGATTATCTGCTGCAAAATTGGCGATTACCAATCGCTACGCAATTGCGTAACAATCGGTAATGCATCGAATAGTTAGAATTGAAGGGTCGTGCATACATACATAGTATGTACATATAAATTTTTCGCTCTATTTGATGTTTTACAGCTAAGTGGATAATAAAATTGCTGTTGCTTTGCTGTTACTGCTCTGTCGTTGTGTTTTCATAAATAGCTTTTGAGCTGTCTTGTTGCTTTCGAAATTTTACAGCAAAACGACAGCCAAAGCATTGATATTTTTTGAATTGCTGTTGCTTTGCTTTCGATATCATTTATGCCGAAGTCAAAGCACAGCAAAAGCAAACTAAATGAAAAAATTACAGCATTTTCAAACTCTGCTTTTATGTTAATTTTTTCGATTTATGGTTTCTGGTTTTCGATAGAGATGGTGATTTTTCACGATTGCCACATTTTTTTAATATTTCGAATACCGAAAAAATTATCTGAACTCTTAAGAAAAACGAAACATTCATATAAAACGACGGACAAGAAATGGAAAGGAAATTTTCTTCTACCAAAATTGCTTAAACCAGTTTGCAGCTCTCAAGAAAAAAATGGTCGAATATTTATTTTCTCATGAAAATTTACAGCAAAAGCAAAGCGCTTTTATCAAGCAACAGAAATTATAATAAATATTTCTTATGATTTCCTTGAGAGCTGGATTCTTAGCATTAAGATACAGTTTGTATTAGAGGTTATCAGCTTTAGGGGGGGGGGGGGGTGGGGGTTGACCCCCAAAACCCACCCCTTGTGTGCGCTAATGGTGCTACTCCTGTTAATACTTCGCCATCAATTGTGTTACGATGCAAGCATTTAACTCTCATTCGAGTTCCATTTACTAAAGCTTGTGACGTGTTTAAATTTCGAATTAGCATTACTATGGAATTTATTTTCAATTTCAATTTATGTGGCGGCATTCCGCTCAAGCTGAGTGAATTTAAAAATTCTAGGGCATATTCATTTACATTTACATCATTAGAAATTTTATCAAAACTGTAATAAATTTTTTCTTCTCCTAATATACGATTAAGTATATCACTATTTAGTAAATCACAATCTTCATTGGTAGGAGCCAAAATAACTGAATTTAGGATTTCTTCCGATAAAACATTCTCACGAATATTGCCATAGGTATCAGCAATTAAATGATCTAAATTACCTATTAATTGTGATGGTAATTCAATTATGTCTTCACCAAGCTCTGAATTAGTTCTTAGCTCACCGTTACCAAGTTTATTTAAAAATTTAACAAATTCTACTTCATCTGGTCTAACTCTCATATTTTTAGTTAGGTTGACATGGTGAAATGAATTAAATTCATTCCAAATAATGATGCAATTTTCAATCAGATTAGATCGCGTACCATGTGGGATAACAGGTAAAACTTGCCTAAAATCACCACTTAGTAATACGGTCTTACCGCCAAATAGTATATTTTTTTAGTAAAGTCAGTTGCTAGGTCCTTTAAAAATTTATCAATGATTTTAAATATATTTATTGGACACATTGATATTTCATCAATTATTATCAAATCAGCCGAATTTATGTAACGGCCGTAAGAGCTGTTTGGTGTGATATTAGGAGTTGAAGTATCTAGTATTGGTATTGGTAATTTGAAAGCATTGTGCAACGTTCTACCGTTAATTAATAGTGTAGATGCAATACCGCTGAAAGCTGTTACAATACATCTCAGATTCAATGCATGCATTCTATGGATTATTTGCTGTTTGAAGAAATGTTTTGCCGCATCCTGCTTGAGCAGTTAAACAAAAAACGTTTGAGCCTGTGTCATGAAATTGCACTTCTCGTATAACTCTTTCAATTATATTTTTTTGTTCTACATTGGCATTTTCATACAATTGTATAAATAGTCCTTGCTCTTCTAATGGATCGAATGTATCTTCAGGGCGATTTTCTGGCAAATGAACTGGAATTGGAAGGCCGAATGACTCGCAATTTAAATTGTGAACATTCAAAATGATTTCAATTTCTAAAAGAGTATGATTAAGTGCCACATTTAAATCATATTTTCTTATAAAATCTTCACTTAAATACGTTTTAAACTCATTCCATAATGCTAATGCATTAGTTGGTAAATTTAACGCACATATTGTCGCAAATAATTCCCTAATTTGTTTTGGCGATTGGAACTCCATAGCTTCATCTAAACACTGCTTCCATTCACTATCGTCAGAGGCAATACCACGAGCATGACACGCTTCGACGAACGTATTATAAATAACATTATCACATGTTTTTAAGTCTTCAAAACACTTTACAGCACGAATGTGCAATAATAATATTCTTAAATGGAAAAGTTCTATTTCTTTTGGTGAAACAACATACATACGCGATATTACCTTATCGCCACCTCGCGTTCTTTTTTTCCATTTTTTGTCCGCAGTATTCCATATATAATGCTGAGGAATTTCAGTATAAAGATACTGATGAGCTTCGGTGTCGACTCTATTTAATTCAAAGAATGCTAATAACTTTGTGTTTCGTAAATTATGAATGGCATTTTGTTCTTGCCCTTCCCTGAATATTACAGTTTGCCTATTGGGTAAGTGTATGTCTAAGCGATAAATAGTATGAGATTGTTGATGAATTTCATATTCAAGTATACGCCATGCTGCTTCTGTAGATCCCACATAGCGTCCACTTATGTAATTTTTGATTTCATCAGCTGAAACATTTTCATTTATGCTATTAGCCTCACTTATTTCAACACTCGCACTATCGTAGCCTTTATACACATATTTGTATATGTATTTAACGCTTCTAACAGTAGTACACACTTCTACGTTAATATGACAGTTAAATTTTGCCAGCAGGTATGGATTGTAAGGAACTACATATCGGTTATCGAGGCTATTACCCCTAACATCGACAGTTGTGTTATTGTCTCGTCTCCAGTAAATTGGGTAACCATTTACAGGAGCATGTGTTCTATCACAAAAGTTTTTAGGAAATGCTTTTGAACACTTTCCATCTTTCATGCAAACAGCATTTGTATTTAATATGCCACATGGGCCATGCATCATGTGACGCTTAACATATTCATACAACTTTCACAGCATACTACATTATCAATATCTTCAATTGAAACAATTCTATCATTCTCTGACAGAGTTATTAAAATATGAGCATGTGGTAAGCCGCGCTTTTGAAATTCTATGGTGTAAACCCACGCAACAACGTTACCAAAAATTCTATTAATCATGATGCATTTTAATAATTCTTTTAATTTGAGTTTAACACTCTCACAACAACATCTGGTCTAAAATTTGAAGCATAGTGTTTTTCAATGTTATCTACTATTTCAGGCCAAAAACTTGGTTTTCCAAAATTCTGAACTATGGACATAGCGTCCATGTAGTTTTGGTACATCCCTGCAGTGAAAAATTATCAATTGTTAAAACTAACCCACTTATAGTTAGCTTTTTGGCGAGATTTCGATTAATACCTCACTTTTAATTAGCTATGACAAAACCAACTTAAAGTGAATTGTAAAGTCGTGCTGGAGTCATGCAGACGCAATCGGGAGTTGGTTTTCTTTACAAGTTTCTATTAAATATCCTCATACAAAAATTACTTTCAATACACTTTTTTTCTGAACTTCGCAGATTCTTTTTCATATTCAGGACAAATAAAAGGAAGATCGAAATTTTATACTATCATTTTGAAGTTATTCTGACGGTGTTCGAATATGGGGCCACCCAGGGCAGAATATGTAAACAAATATGAAATGTAATAAAATAAAGTAAATAAAAAAGTAAAAAAACAAAAAAATATTTTGTTTTTCTTATTGATATTTTATGTCCTAAAGTAGTTAGTTACAAGTTAGTTGACATGTAATGCAGAGGTATCCAGGTCTGACTTTTTTGCGGCCATCGCCCCATAAAAGTACTTAGCTTTTTTCGAACAAAATACACAGTTAATAGTTAGCACTAGTGTTCGCGTAAACAGACTAAAGTTAGGTATAAGCTAACGTCACTCCCTGCAGGGATATTACGTGGTGAACCGATGAATGAAGAGGGCAGCACAATGCGCCGCCCAATATTTGACACATCATTATTCGCGTTTGTGTTTAAATAATCCGTGAGATTATTATATAACTCACTTCTTAAATTAGCTTGATTTTTTCTGATGAAATGCAACCGTGAACCTTCAATACGTACATAAATATCAACAATCCATTGCAGAAATAATTTTTGGCTATGGTGTAAAAAGCTAAATTCATCTCTAATAGCAAGCCGATAAGCAGCGTATTGCAACATTGTGACTCGATTTCTAGGAACAGCAGCATTAGAATTCCTTGCAATGTTGTGATAAATATTTGGATGCCATCCTGTATCACCATTGGGAAAGAGGAGTGGATATGCCAAAGGATCTAACGAACTATCTAACACAGATATGTTGTGAACTGTGCCACTGACTTTACTAAAGGTCACAATATTTCTTTCAAATGGTGGTTCACCATCCGTCGTGCTGAAAATAACCGCGACATCAGTTTGAATTGCATCATTATATCTTCGTATGTCTAACTCCTTATTTACTTTGATGAGCATACACACTTCTTTACACGTGTTTTCATCCCTAGAGCAATATTCGCGCATCGTTCTAAAAGAACGAACAAATGGATTTACTCGATCTAATTCATTTGAAATATCTCTTATTAATTGATTATCACATTGTTGATTTGCGGCTTCGCGTAATCTATAATTTACTGCTGTTTCAACATCATAAAAATAAAGCTGGGCATAGCATGGATTTCTTCCGTAATTGCATGTCATGGCGCCAGCACGATGGTAAAACACATCATGAATTTTAAAATGGTAAATGCCCTCCATGCAATTTTGATCAACATGAGCTTCTGAGCTGACCATTGCAAAAGCTGAATATTTTCAAAGAAATTCTTCGCTCTACGTTTTTCAGCTGGGTTGTTGGAATTTAATTCATTAAACAAATTATTAAAAAAATTATTTTGACTCAATGTGGGAACAGAAACTTTTCCCTTATGACAACACGAAGTAAAATAATTTACGTTATTTTGTGTTATTTCTGATGAAAAATGTTTAGCTTTAGAAAAAAGGCAAATTATATTCATTAAACCACAGTGAAAACTGATAAAATTCCTAGGAACAATTTTCAGAGCACATTTTAAATCATCAGTCAAGGGATCTAAAGCGGTTTCCATGTTGTCAATAACTTGACCAGCGGCAGTATTATTATAGTTATTGTTATGGTCAACGTTATTTCTCCTTCGTAAATTATATGAATTTCTGAATCGTCCTCTCTCCACTCTACCCGTTAGCGAGTGACGTCGTGGCATATCGAGAATAACTGGAAGTACAGTAGAATAGACTCAGAATTTTCCAAATAAATGCTTATTTCCATTTTAAAAAAGAGTGGATATGAATATAAGAAAAATGAATATTCGCATTCTTTTACTTCAACTATTCTGAGTTTAAGACCTCGTTCGCACGACAGGTACATTTTGATAACGCGCGCTTACCAGCGCACGCCTAATCCTTGCACTTTACTCATACTCT